GATACATATGTAGGTTTCATCCTTGTCGTAATTTGTTTCCTAGTGTATTATTCTTTCTCAAAAAGTTTTGGGAGGCAGAGTAGTTATGGTCATACGTTACATCAACAACGACAACATAACCAGTGTTATCCCACAAGTGGGATCTGGGGAGGGTGGTGCATACGCAGCCTTACTCCTACCTTGTGAAGGTAGAGAGGCTGTTTCCCACAGACCCTCAGCTCAAATAACACACATGGTCGTACGTTGCACTGATTAGTTGTTGCATTTGTGAAAACAGACCTTTCTTTATTGATAAGTTTGAATGTGACCTTTCTTTCTGGAGCTGCTTATAACAGAAAGTAGATGGAAAACAATGGGACATATGGGGGGCTACTTCTATCCTTTCTGAAGTGTAATCTAAAAGATCTTATAACACTGTCATTTGAAGGAAAGCCTTAAAGTAGACATTCAAAATTTCTTGTTTTTAGGATCAATGACGGGCTCTTTACCTTAGTGTGTGTTTCCCTGTTAACACTTCAATATATTGAGTTTTGAGCTTTAAACATGTGGCTGTCAAATTGCTTAGATTCTTGCTTGAAATAATTAGTTTCTTTCAAGAGCATCAGAAGACATAATAATTGCAAGCTACTATTAAAGCTAATGTTTAGTTCATTTCTTTTGTTGGACAATGTTGTCCCCATTAACTAGTTCAGTACAGTTTTTGGATTTGAGACATTGTATTTCAGGCAAACAATGTTCTCCCGCACTTTTTTTCTTTAGTAATTAGACTCCTGTAACTTTGCATTTCCTTGATGCCTGTCTATGGAACACATTACTCCATCAAAATAAATAATTGCAGGCTATTGTTGCTAACCGCCTATGGCATCATTGCAGGATCTTCAATCTAGTAGAACTGATTCAATCATCAAACCTGCACCAGAATCAGATTCGTCCAATCACATGTATGACGGCGTACAGTATTCTGCAAATAGACCGTCTCCTCCAGCAGCCACCCCACCACCACCTCATTTACACACCCCTCCACCTCCTTCACATATCCCTCCATCACCTCCAGCAGCCACCACACAGTCACCTCCTTCACATTTCCCTCCATCACCTCCTTCCTATCCTGGTGCCGAGTATCCTTCTCATAATTTTCAGCAGCCTCCACCTGTTGATGCATCTGAAAATTCTTCTTACCCTCAGCCGTATCACCATCAACCATATGCGCAAGAACCACAGTCTCACTTGCCACAGCCACACTACCCTTCACAATTCCCCAATTTCCAATCCTATCCTAGCTTTTCTGAGAGCAGTCTTCCTTCTGCACCATCACATTACCCTTCTTACTACCAAGGCGCTGATGCTTCGTATTCCACATTGCCTGCATCTAACACTGCAAACTATCCATCAAGCACTCAATACAACTCAAATGAGAGAAATGGGTCTGCATCAGAAGTTGCAGCTGCTCCTGTGAAAACATACGCATACGATAGCAATTACCAGCCCCCTCCTGAGAAAATAGCTGAAGCACACAAGGCTGCAAGGTTTGCTGTCGGAGCTCTGGCATTTGATGACGTCTCTATCGCTGTAGATTACCTCAAAAAATCACTTGAGTTGCTGACAAACCCATCAGCTGATCAATGAAGTTTATTGTGCTAAACAGCTGGACTAATCAAGTGTGTAAACATTTTTCTGCTGTGTTTTCACTATTTGATTTATTTGTAGATTGTGGTTTTCATCGATTGCTCTACCGTTTTATGTTGAAACAGTGTTGCGGTTATGTATACGTCTACGAGTCCCATCATCTTTTTTATTCAGAGAGCTAATATAGATGTGGTGATTCTGTACTTCAATTTGTTTGATGAACTATGTTCTTTGGAATATTCATCAATTTGATTGCACCTAGAAAAGAAACAAGAGAAATATATCTCCATAGTACAAGGAGAGTATCATAGTAATGCACAAATTTTAGTCATCTTGAGCTGTGAGTTGGAGCTAAGTTGTTAAGTAAATAAAAGTGTTTTCTCAAACGCCTGAAGCGTTTAAATGAGAATTCAACTGGTATTAGTTGTGCTCACGACCACGCATATTGTATTTCTAATAGTTTAAGCTTTTCGATGAGATTATAATTAAGTCGATGCATTAATGCAACTAACATTTATCAGTCTTGTCCTTGTTATTATCAAGTTCTATGTTTATCATCAAACCTCATTTTTCATTTTGGGTATTATTAATACCTCCAAGGAAAAAACAATATTTTGAGAAAACACTTTTATTTACTTAACAACTTAGCTCCAACTCACAGCTCAAGATGACTAAAATTTGTGCATTACTATGATACTCTCCTTGTACTATGGAAAAAACAATATTTTTTTTCTAGTGTAAAAACATAGACTAATCAAATTACTTTTCTACATTTCTTAGTTGAGGAAAACTATATATAACTGTTAATCATCCATATAAAACTCACTCTTTCTCAATTACTTTCTATAGGTACAAATTCTTGATTTTTTTTTTCTACAAGTCATGGGTGCAAGTACTCTTTGTGGTTTTGGACAAATCAGTCTAAAATGCCTTTGGACATCAATGAAGAAGAAAAAAAGACAAAATCATTCACACCAAAGAGAAAATCAACATCATCATAATCAGAAGAAGAAAAATAAATTCTTGAAGGATGCTACTAATAGTAGTAAAAATGATTTTGTGACATTAGAGGAATGTTTATTGGCTTCACCAGGGTCCAATAAACAATCCTCTAACAAAGTTTATCCTTCACTTGGAGGATTATTATCTTACAATAATAGTAGTTGTGGTACTAATAATGTTGAAGTTATTAGCTATCAAAAAAATAATAGTTGTAGTACTAATGCAGTTGTTGAAGGAATTAAAGATCAAAGAGAAGATAATTGTTCTTCAATTTGTAGAAGCCAAAGTGGAAAATTGAAGAAAAAAGTGAGTTTTAGATATCCTGAGGTGGCTGATGTATTCATATTGGACCATTGAATATATAATAATGTTATGCCACTATGATCACTGGCTACAATCAATAGCTTTTTACCGACTTCTGTCTCTGTTATTGTTTTGAGCCTTGAATACAAAAAAAATCTGATAGATAATATTATCTCCAAATGAACCTTATTCGGTATAAATTCAAATTAGTCAGACTTAAAAAATAAAAGATCGTCTCCTTCACCAGTTTTTTTTCCTTTTTATTTTTTTTTGGGGGGGGGGGATGAAGGAGGGACAAGTATAGTCAATTACTTGGGCACGTCATCTTTGGAAATTCTATATGGATAGAAACAAGAAACTGATTTACTTGCAGCTTGTTTATAGGTGTTACTTATTGTATTGTTAGTTTAAATATAATGTTATTTTGATTGTGTTTTAATTTTTGTTGTATTATATCATAATATATATCACTACATTATGATGAAAAATCTCATTTTATGTAACGATTGATTTAATTTAATTGGTGTCATTATCTTCTTCTTTTTTCTTCTCGTTTTATTCTTACTCATTATCTAATAATCTTATTTTATTCTTTAATTACCTAACCTTTTTATAATAATTCTTTAGATCACATATCACATATCTTTAGTTTAAGATAACATATAACATTCATTTAAAAAAATAATCATATCGAAATAAAAGCAAATCGCTAGTAGTAAACTAGTAATGGCTTTTATTAGAAAAGGCAGGGAAAAATGTTGTCATGCATGCATATATATCATTGTCAAGAAGAGACAAAATAGAAAAGAAAATGAGACAACTTACTGAATTACCAATTTTAATTATTAATGTTATATGTCACTTCATTTTCCTAAAAAAATAGCATGTCCCTTAACTTATTATAACTTGCGAAATGTCTTTACCTTTCCAATTTTTTGTCGGACAATTATATAAAAAATGGAGTACCTAAACATTATTTATAAAAGACAAAGAAAAGTTTAAAAAAAATTCTGTTCTATTTATGTGTCATTACTTTTATATCACACAACTTTAGCAAATTACTTGGCCTCATTCATTTTGGCGCAAGAGCGTTTGATCAATGAGCTATATATAATTATCGTTAAGAAGAAAAGGTTGACGATACTTCAATACGTTTAGTTTGATCAAAATCTATCTTAATTTGACCCTTTAATCAAGTAGTACTTTTTCTTTAGCTAAATTGCTCAAAGACATCTGAATCCCAATTGACTTCTCAGAAATTTCATAAAATGAGCTTCCTAGAGATCTCAATGATCAAACTTCGCATGAATTGCTAAGTACTTTTTTTTCTTATTTGTTGTTCGATATTTGTGTTGGAATCTGACTAAACTCAAATTTGCGCTAGAAAGTCTTATATTTGGGATAAAACACTCTCTAACAAAAATAATTACATATATAATCAAAGAGACTCAAACTCGAGATATCTTATTACGAATAAATGAGTACTTACCACTCAACTAAAATTCATGTTGGTCATCATTTATTTTTTTGTCTCACTGTAAATCACTCTCTAAGGAACAAAACTGTAGTGGGAGTTTGGGCAAAGTATTCATGGTTTTGGTTTTGGATTTATCAGGCAAAATGAAAGCAGGGCCCTAGTATTGTACTCTTATATCCACTACACAACTAGTAATTAAAATCATCAATTTTATTTTTGCCTGAATAGGAATTTTTTTTTTATAGACTATATATTGTAATTTGTACTCTACCTTACTTGTGAGAGGTTAGGCATCACTTTTTTTATCTAGAATTTTTCCTTTTTTAATCAGTGATTTCGAATTCGAGACAATAAAAAAATCATAGTAAAGAGCATTTATTCCGTTAAGGGCCTTACATGATGTGATTTTGGATTTGAATTCTAAAGATATATTCGAACCAAATGTCAGAGTCAAGCTAGACAGTCATTTGAGGGAGGAACAAAAATGAAACAAAATTAACAATGCGAGATTTTCATAGATCGAAAAATTAAACAAATGACAAGTATCTAAGGTTTGTTCAGATCACAAATTTAAACATCTAATTTTCCAACCATATATTATCAACCAAACCAAACTACAAGTCAGTCTTAATTTCTCTAACAATATTTCATTCTAATAGATTGAGAGACATATAGACTTTCACTAGAGCCCCTTTGTCTCTCTTTTGAAAATTCTAATTAAACATTCAAATCTCTACACAAGAGAAAGTGAAGCAACAATATGAAAAAACTGCAGATTCTGAAGAAGCTCTTTTGCATGACACGTGGCTCGTTCCTCCACTCTGGTGAACAGCTCATCACTGAGCTGTTCACCAATGTGGGCATCGACGAGCACCCCACTAACACTCCTACAGCTGTTAGCTAGTGCTCGTCCTATTTCAGCCGCGTCGTCTGGATGGCTAACCACAAGAGGGCTTCCTCCCCTAAAAACTTGAAGATTGTTAATTTTGAATGAGCCATTTGCTTCTACCACTTCTTTGAAATCTTGAATGCTTGGTGCATACACTGGAATATTGAACTTGTCCCTTTTCTCACTAGTAATTAGGCCCTGTAATTCATACAAAAAAAAAAACATTATTAGGGATGACAAATGAACGAATTAGACTATGTTACTAAAAAATAAGTTAAATTTTCTATATCTAATATTTAATTATTATTTTTTTCATTTAACCATCTATATCTGAAACGTACGACATATTCAGCCTTGTTAAGTTTTCAGGTTGAGTAGGTCCACTACAAAATAAAGGAGTACTCTCTATCAAAACGTCTGTTTTTTTTTTCTTGGGCTTTAAACCCGAGACTTCTAGTTGAAGAAATACGAACATGATGTTTACCTCTTGGACAAGATCATCCCAAGCATCTTGAAAGTGGGTCCCAAAGAGAAGCCCAGCCCCACCTTGATCAGTAGGATCCACAGAAGTCCTACCCAAACAAGCTAAAAACATAGAACCACCCCTCTTCATTTCTTTGGACCTACATCCCAAAAAATAAGCCAAATCTGTCTGAAATTGTTTTCTGTATGCATTTGCTGTGCTCTCATTTGCTCCATGTATGTAAATTTTCCCTTTGTTATATGCTGCAGATCTCTTATCCAACACTATCTCCGGCACCTGTATCCAGATGAATTGTTAAACAAAGGTAATTTGGACCACGAAGATAAAATAAAAGTGAAAAATTGAACTGATTCTGTTACTAAATACGAGTGCATATAATTTAAACTCAAAAGTTTTTACCTGAGAGAGCCAATGCAGAGAGAATGCAGAATAGAAAACGTCGATAGATCTGGCCGGAAAAAGACGCCGGTAAAAGGAACCAGGAACGCCGGCGGCGAAATAAGAGCGGTGGCTATTAGAAGCTAAGCATTCTTCCATACTTCCACAGCCATTATTAGCTAAAGGCGGTAGCAATTGAAACAGAGTGTTGAAATCGTTCGACGGTAGATCGGAGAAGAAAGCTGAAAATTCCGGTGGCTCTTGTCCGATGGCTTCGTAACGCTTGCTCATGTGTTCGACGATTACGTCGATAATGAAAATTGTGTTGCTACCGCAGGAACAGCCTAAATCGGCGATTACGAATGGAATCTCCGGCGAGTTTAGCTGAACTCCGTCGAGAGTATCTTTCAATAAGTGTAGCATTGATCGTGCATGTTGCCCCTGAATAATATGACAATAACACAAGGTTCAATTTTATATTATGGAATAATAGAAGGACTCGTTTTTGCAAATAATCTAAAATTACTACTTTGGAACTAGACTTCTAGCTATGAATTCAACAGAACTCGATAGCTTTAAGTGGAAATTATGTACTAAATAAGTTTAGCGAACTACTTTTTCTAGAATCCACAACTCATACACTCGAAAATTTAGCTTCGTTACAAAACTTTGAGCATCACTTGGGAAAAAAAAAGATTTTAGAGTTTAGGCAGAAGATATATGTATATTTGGTTTAAACTTTAATGTCAAGACAAACAAACGAAAGTTCAGGATGAAGCCGTATGAGATGGAAGTCTCGAGTATATGATTCTCCAATTAGAAGGAAATAGCTACCGATTAGAGTTTTGATCAACTACCATATGAGATATACGAAAGTCTCATGTGGTATCTACGAAAGTCTCAACATTAGATTCGATTCTCATCATCTCTTTTTCGTTAGAAATAAATATATTTTTTTCAAAAAGATCTCATCATTGCATAACTCGTTCTATTTTTTTCTCACTAAATTTAATTGTTAGCACTTAAATTACTCAAACTTAAATATTCATCTAAATTAGAGGAAAATTAATTTTACAAAATTAGAAAAAATACTTGAAAGTGATAACTAAATACTCAAAAAAGAATATGGACCTGAGCTTGAGAGTTATTGACATAGCTAGTTTCTCCTTTGCCTCCCTTCATACTAAGCATTCTTTCAAGTTTCAAGTTTGAAACAACAACATTATTGTTATTATTGTCTCCTAAAGGTGCCATATTGTCTCTAATGTTATGCTAGTGAGCAAAGAGAACTATATGGAATGTGTTGAGGATAAAAATGACAAGAGATAGAGTAGGTATATATAGAGGTTGATGAGTTGTGTTGCACTAGTTTGGATACATAATAATTAAAGATTATGCCTATTTATGCAATATTTTGAAACATAAAGGTTAAAGTATAGACAAAAAATAAAATAAAGGTGGTGAATTGAATTTGGTATTGGGGTGGAGTGGAGAGGTGGGTGGGTGGTGGTTAAAAGTGTAAGAGAATTCAGTATATTTGTTCTCTTAAATATTGATAAAATTTCATTTTGATCCTAGTATTTTGAAAAAAGTAAATTTATGAACTATTTTTTATTAAGCTGAGAATCTATTGAAAATAATTTAAAGATGTCTACATACACTATATTATCTCTAAAGACTTCACTCTGCAAGATTACACTAGGTAATTTGTTGTTGTTGTTTTCATCTCTAACCTTTAATTAATTATTATGTGCACTTTTGGTGCTTTTGAGTGTGAGTCTTCACAAATTTAACAAATTACTACGAATTAATTAACAATACAATTATCGATATATTATGTTAAAGTTTTCAATATAAAGGGGCCAAAATTGTTAATTCAATATTAAATGTGCTTAGCAAAATATCTAGAATCAGAGTTCATCAATAATTGAGGGATCAAAAACATAATTTTCCTAGAAATGAAAAATAATTTGCAGAAAAGGTCACATGGAAACAGTTATAACAAAGTAGGTCCAAGATTCACGCCGGATTTGCATCTTTATATATATACCTATAATCTCGTTAATTAATTGAGTCAAGGCTAACTATATTTCCAAATACTAATTTTTTTTATTCTACGTACGTACCCTTGCAGGGGCGGATCTAGGTGGAGTCTAGGGGGTTCACCCGAACCCCCTCGTCAAAAAATTACACTAAATATAATGTCAAATTCTGATTTTATGTCTATATATATTAAAATGAACACCCTAAACACAAAGGACGGACTTGGCTTAGTGGATAAGTGGTTCATGAAATACCCCTATGTCATGGGTTCAAATCCCATTGGCAACGTTTTTTCCCTCTTTTTAATGCTTTGGAAAATGAAACTTTTGGACTTAGACCTTCTTCTTTTTCATTATTTTTTCCTTTTATTCTATTTCTTCTTTTTAATTTGTTTTTTGTTTTTTTTAAAAAATTTATTAAACACATTCTTTGTATATGAAGCTTCCAATTATGACTAACCTAGTAAATTGAACTATATGAATTAAAAAATTTGACGATGCTATTTATTTATCTTCTGAATATGCATTATAATATTAGTAACTCTATTTTTACACACTTTTAGAGAATCTTGACGATTTTTATAGTAATATTTGATTGAATGGATACTAATTTAAAATTCTTAAAAAGTGAAATATAAAGTAAAACATTACAAAATAAAAGTATAAAAAGCACAAGAAATTTTAAGAATGCTTGATGGAGCATGATAAAAGTAAAAATAAATGTTTAATACGGTGTGATAAAGTGAGTTAAGTTTAGCATGATAAGGTAAATATCTTTCTTTCCCGTCTCGCTCCCTTTTTCATCATTTAATTTTCACGTGTTTTAGGAACTAACTTTTGTCATACAGTCGATCCACTAAAATTATTATCAATGCATCTTTGTCCTCGATATCTTTGATTAGTGTAGTTACTTTTATGAACCAATGAAATATCTATGGTTCTTGTACAAAGAGCATGCCAAGGGGCTACTACGCTCACCGCGCACTTGCATTACCACCTTAACTTCTTCTTTATACTTCGAACCCCTTGAGAAAAAAATCCTGGGTCCGCCACTGTACCCTTGTTTATCATCACACAAACGTCTCCGATTTATTTTATACCATAAATATAAGTTGATGTCTCAGATAATCATTCAATTAATAGTTATTAGTCACTTTCTTTAAATTAGAATCCAGAAAAAATGTGAATCTTTTGTCTCTCTAATATTAACTATTAGTTGACTGACCAATTGAGAAATCAACTCCATCCAATTTCCACCCGATCCTATTAACAGTATTGTCGGTCATTACAATCGTCATTTCTGTCGGTAAGTATGTTCTCAATAAAAGCAAGTGCACAAACCGCATGCAACTCCAATTTACCTTTATTTATTGTCATACAAACATCACAGACTTGTTTTACATCATAAATTTCATTTTATTTTTTTCTTAAATTTCGTGATCAGACAAATATTGTCAAGTAAAGTGGGAAGGACAGATATTAGGGGATTTCGATTACCTTTAATTAAATCAAGAAATTAAAAAAATCAAGAATTTTCCTAATTGAAATTTACAAGAATAATAGGATAATTAAGTCCCAATAGCAAACCCACTTATCACTTTTATTATATCCTTAATTATATTAGTTATCACATTATCATGATACAATATGCTAATAAGTAATAACTATTACCAATAATTCCGATATTTTCATTAAATAACAAACTTAAAATAGTTAAAACAAGAATAATATGTTTTCAATAAAAAAATCTCAAATTAGGGAATAAAATCTCAAGATTATCTTTAGTAAGAATAAAAAAATTATCCAAAAAATACCAAAATGGAAGTGTAGTGGGTAAATAGTCTGTACGTGCATGGCAATAATTAAGGATTAATTAAATTAATCACTTAAAATATTGTGAGTACATGAGTGCAAATAATTATTAATATACTTAATTAGCTCCACGATCTCGTTAATCCATTATAATAGTAACCGTTTATGGTCAACACTTAACAGTATGATTAGCGAAAAATAAAAAAATAATACTAATACGAATAGTATCACTTTTAGTCCCTAGGGTATTGGTAAAATTCTGATTTTCGTCCTTATAATTTATTATTAGCACATAATTTAACCCCTCAATTAATTAAAATGTATGATTTTGATCTCTTTTGAAAAGAAAAAGACGTTATATTTGGTGAATAATTAATAATAGTGATAAATTTATGAAGAGCAAATCTTGGATCGATGAAAAATACAAGAAGTAGTCATGTTCTTGTTGCGCCCTTGAGTTTGCGCTCATTTCTATGGTATCAACTCACACACGACACAAGCAATAACTTGATTCTCTGAAAAATGAAAATATTTGGGTGTCACCACTCATAATCTTTCATTTTAGATGAACGCAATATGAAAGATTCAAAGAAAGACAATTATAATGAGCGAAGGAAAATAATTAACCTATCGACTATCACTTAATTGTATAGTAAGTGATGACAATTATGTTCAACTTAATTCACAAGCAAAGGGATCAAAATAATGAAATATACATTCAATTACAAATTCTTTCAGTTATTATAAGGACTAAATTTAGAATTCATCAATAATTAAGGACCAAAAGTGAAATTAACCTAAAATAATTTTTTAAAAAGGGACATACCTAACCCAAATAAATAGGAAGGAAAAAAAAGGGCTTCTCATGCAACTACCTAAGTGCAAAGAATATATACACAAAAATGACCAAAAGCATACTAAAAAAAAACTCGAATTGTTAGCAAAGAATATTCATAACATGTGTTTGTTGTTAGTTGTGTATGTTTATTGTTGCTTTTGAATTGGGTAAATCATTGACTACTAATGCTAGTATATTATAATTAATAATATAATACTTCAACTATAAATGTATGAGGACAAGAACTATTGATTCCTAAAAATACAACAAATTATTATTTTTGTATACCTAAACTATGATTTGGTATTACTTCAAATGAGAGTCAACTCAAACTATTATTTCTTTAATTTATGTGTTTCTAAAATAATCATATCTAATATATATGTATCATTTGTGGTAGGGGCTAGTAGGGGTTGATAAAAAGTTAAAAGGTATAGGTTCATCGAATTTTGTAGAAAATCTATTAAATATAATTGATATTGAATTTTGTTCAACAACAATATATTCAGTGTGATTTTATATAAGTGAAGTCTGAAAATGATAACTCCTATCTTGATAGGGAAGAGATATTGTTTTTGTTAAGACCCTCGGTTTTTTTTTTTTTTAAAAAAAAAAGAGTTTTTAAAAGTGCAGATTTGAAAAATACAAAATCGACTAATTAAGTCAAATAAATTGTAACTGGATTTTGAACTAGCTAGTGTACTCATAAGTAAAATACTGAATCTATCTTTGATCCGCTAGTACTTGTATATAGAATATATTGCCAATTTTTAGAGAGAATCCGGATGGATCTAGGAGCGCAAAAGGGATTATTTTGAGCCTCGTCATTGAAAAGTTACACTATAAGTATAAAGTCAAAATTATCTTTTGTATATTTATAAATATTTAGTAGATGTTGAAATCTTTATGCTAATTTGTATTCACTTCTGTATATTTTGAGCCCTCTTAACAAAAATTTTAATTCCGCTTTTTACTAGATACGTGCAACTAAGATTCAACTATGTTTTCATCAATAGTCTTTATTTTTTCTCTCGAAATTTAGCATAAGATCTCCATAAATCAAGCTTAATTTGTTTCTATTAGCCTATTAACACATGAATTAATAGGGTTTATACATAGACTGATCATGGAAGTTTTGTAAAAATGGAATTATTAAGAAATTGTTCAAACGTGCTTGATAAATTTTCCTAGAACATATATATTAATATAAGAGAATTTGAGTTCTATTTTTCTCTGTAAAAAGTAAAAGCATTTTTTTTTTCTTAAAAGGTTTGGTCTTTTACTTTATAAAAACAAAAGTTTCTATGAAAATCCATGTATGTTTCTTTGTTAAGGAAAAAAAATAGGCAATCAGATATATATTCAGAATTTAAAATTTATGAATTTCTATATCAATTTGAAGTATATAATAATAACTGATCGAATTCACAATCTAATATAATTATAAGTACTTAAGTAATAGATTTCTTAAAACATATATAAAGTTATATATATTGAGAGGCCGAGCTTAGCTTTTGGTCTCCAAAAATTCAGCCGTATTTAATAGCTTTGATCTTTAGAATCACGAAGTTATAAATTTTGAATCTTGATTTGCTGACTCCAC